TTAAATGTCGCTCTTTAATTTCTGGCTAACAATTTGATATTAAAATAGTAGTATAACGGTGTTTTAGCGAAAAATACATTTTCTATCCTTTTCTAATTAACTGCGTACGAATTCTACGAGAGTTGAATCTAATCCGATTTACAGCTTTTTAATTGAAGAAAGTAATTGTGGTTCCGGCCATGAGTAGTTTAGCACTGGTTGATTTTACGTATATAAATTGATTTAATTAATTAATTAATTTAATATCTGAAAATGCCGTAAATAGAAATAGTAATTCTATCCTTTTCTAGGATTAGCGCTGATCTCAAGGATTTCGGGCGAGTATCGCGGCACGTAGGCACATCATAGCGTAACGGAAATTTCGTATACAAAACTATTTATTAGAAAAATAAAATAAAATAATATATTATCTTGTTTTAATTATTCTAACTCAATATTCAATCAAAATCATAAGTTGGATGGATTTTTTTTTGCTTGGGTAATTGCAAAGGAATACTCTCAAAGGAATCTGTGGAAATAACAAATAACAATATTTATTCATCTTTGCTTTCATACAACACAACATAAAATTCAAAAATCTGTTAATTAAACAATTATACAAGTACAAAATCAAGACAACGGAGAACGGTTCGGGCGGAAATGTCGTTTACGGAGTTTTACAATAATTTTGAACAATTACTACTAGAGGCGTCCGGGAGATTCTTCCGGCCATTCCCTAGAAGGCGACCGGCGGATAATCCAGCCGTTCTCTCCATTCCAAGGGCGGCCAGGATAGAATTCCCGTACTCTCCTCGTTAGCAGGCGACCGGCGGCAAGTTCCAGCCGTTCTCTTCCGACAATACGATAGACTGGGCGACCGGTGGCGAGTTCCAGCCGTTCTCTCCCGAAATTATTATTAAATCAAAGTCTATTTAGTTTTGTTTTTTGATCAAGCCAATATTTTGTTGTTATTTGTCATTTGTTATCTGTTACATTCATCATTTTCATTGTTTTATTGAATGAACCTAATTGTTTAAAGACATTGACCTGTGGATTTCACTCCTTAACCGCACACCACACGAATCTCACATTCTTTAGATTTAGTTATTTGCAAAAACGAGTCGTTCAGTAGGTAAAAGCCGCTCTTTACCTCACGAGCGCTGTTAACATCTGAACCTAGGTTCCAGAGTCGTTACACACATAAGTTTCATTGAAATCGTTGTGTCCCGGTTCCATATGTTCCCTTGTAAGCTACAAGGTATATATGTATTTTGAATTATGTTTCTTCGACGTTTTGAAGATATTCTGAATTGTTTAAGAAAAACAATTTAGATAATAACTTAAATAGAAATATTGGATATGCAAAAAATGTAATCAGTTATGAATGTTTAATTTTATTTCATAATTATAATAACTTATTAAATAATTTACATAATAAAATGTAAATTTCATGTAAATTTATTTCTTTGACAATAGCAGTTAATTCTAAGCAAAAAAATAATAATAAATAGAGAAGTTTGAGTGATTTTAGTAAATTATATCTTTGTTACTATGAATTATGTTAGTCGCTA